CAGTGCCTTACCACCCTCTAAGTAAAGAATTTCTTCCTAATATCTAATCTAAATCTCTTCTCTTTTAGTTTAAAACTGCTCCCCCTTGTCTTCCATGAGCCTGTCTGCTCTGAAAGAATTACTGTAATGCTCTAATGATTACCTTTTGATTTATGATGGTTTGTGTCACCCAACAGCTTGTGAACAGTAAACCTTGCCTACTTTTTACACCCTGTCTGAAGTCAGACACCTTTACAGACACAGTACATAATTAGCTGCTGTGAACAGCCAAATCCCAAATGCTTCCTTTCTGCTTAAGAAGCAGTAGTGAATGGGTTCCAGAGAAGTAGGACCTTTTTGTAACATGCCAATGGGACAGAGACATCTAAAATCCTCAAGTATGAAGTCCAAAATAGAAAGAAACAATAAAAAAAGGGAAAACAAAAATATAATACACCTCTGTAATGATGGGAGGCAAAAGACATTCAGAGGACTGTGAGCACAGGATTTCCAGTGGTTTAAGTTTTAGCTACAAACATTATTCAAAAAGGTCTCTATAGTAGCTGACAAAGAAATATTGCCTAAAACAAAAACCCTTAGACAAATATAAGGAAAAGCAAATACAGAGATGGAATGAATATGATCCTTAGAATGAAAACAGTCATAATTCATTCCAACATGAGGTTTGTGCAGATGGTGGGAAAACAGCAATGCTTAGCACAGAGCAGTGCAGGTAGCAAGGTCTAGGAGGTGCCTCTCTTTTCCAAAGAAGTAACAAATCATTTGAAAGACAAAAAGATAGGAACTCACTCGCTGGATCACACTTAAATATCAAACCTGAATTCTCTCCAGTACTGTACTGCTGCCACAGAAGATGTAAAGCACCCTTGGTGGCTGACTCTGCCCAAGGACCATTTCTTTCCAGCTGTCAGTGTATGAGTAAAGCTCAAATTCTGGAATATGTTTTCTCTGGAATTTTATAAATTGATGTCGATTTTCCCAGTATATTTTTGACACGTTTTCTTCTGAATGTTACCGTATTATTGCAGTCAAAATGCCTCACATGCTATATTTAATAGTTTTCTGGGGGAGGGAGATTTGGAGCACAAGCGGCGCTCTCAGAGGCAGTCCTTGGAAATGTTTGAACATGACCACAAGGGCCATGAAGAGGATCTGTGTGTCTGGCATGGCAAAAAGGGTATATTTTGACTTCCTAGTCTTTGGGATCACTGGATTTCTAGGATGTAAAAAAGCAGAAAAATATCTTGTCTCTACTTGGACCTGAAATTCAAGTTGAGCTTCCTTCCTTCTGGCAAGTTACAAATCACAGGATAAATCCTTGTTCATTTCTACCTTAAATTTCATCTATCAAGCACTTGATCACTGAGTGTGATGTTCTGTAAATTTGGACCTCTGAAACATTAATTTTCAGTTGACTTATTTTTCAGCAGAAATAAATGTAAATGGAGAAGGGAAAATAGTATCCAGCTCATTTTTCTATGGCCATCTTAGCAGTGGAATAGAGAGCAAAACATTTTTATCATTCAGTACCATAGAGAGGACTGATCATCTTTGTGCAGCAGATCCTTTTAAGTTAATAGATATCCATGTCACAGAGGCATTTTTCCATAGTAGAATTATTTTCCTTCTCATTTTTCCGCTTCTGTGTAAAGTGGTGGTTTTTTTTTTTTTTTTTTTAGTGGGTTTGGGGTTAGTGCTTTCCAAATTTAAAATGTTTTTTAGGAATTAATTCTAGTTCTTGCTAAACCACTCTAAAAAAAAGTATTACATACTAATCACTGAGAGGACTCATCTGTCTTTTAAGAAATTGAAGGTAAGTTTCCAAGTAAATACATAAAAATATGATCTTTACTGAACTGCAACAGCTATGTAACTACCCTGTGCTGTTCTGAGGAGCTTTTTGAGTACCTATATTATACAGCTACAGGTTAAAATTTGAACACTAATTATGACAGCTATATATTGTGAAAACAAATGTAAATAGGTCCAAATCAATATCCAACAACAAAAATTAGTGTTTTTCATCAAATTGGAAGATGCTTTCAACTTGGCACCATAAGCAAAGACTATGTTCCTGCCACATGTGTCTGCCTAGCTATATATGTGGACCACAGTTAATTTGCCTGCTACTAGGGAAGCACCTTGATGTTAAGGACATACCACCTGCTGTATTGTTTATTCTGTTTCTGCATCTATGAGTCCAGTTTTTATTTAGTATTGCAATGCCTTAACTCCCAGCTGAGAGCTTATAAAACAACTGAAGGTTAAATCATCAGTTAACATAATTGAAACCGGTTTCTTTTTTGCCTTTTTTCCCCACCCACTCTGCATGTAAATCTCTCTATTTGCTCCCGTGTTTTGATTTCTACAGCAGAAATCTCTCCAAGTCTGCTTTGGGTGAAGATTCTCACTCAAATTGCCTGTATAGGTAAAGTTTCGAACAACCAAAAGAAACAAAGATTAATCTAGGGATTTTCTGTGAAATTAAAGAAAAATCTCTGAGACATAAGGCATTTTAGGCATTTTAAGCAATAAACTGGGTATTACAATATGCAAATGAATGAAGGGAAAGCAGCGGGGGAAGGAGAGGCATGTAGAGGGAAAGGTGACAGTTTTGCTGAGGAATTCTCCTGTCAGCTTCCCTAGGGAGGAGAGAAACAAAGTGGGGAGAAAGTGGGAGGAGAGCAGTGTGAAAAGGCTCTTGGATACCATGGAGATGGGTACAGTGTAAAAATCTGTATACTGTAGATAAGTAAGTGGGAGGTTGATATCAAACTCCTACCAGCCAGAAACTGGCTTTGTGCAGGGTAAACATGTTAAAGGGCTGGGGAGCAGGAAGCATTGTTTAAGCCTTTGCCATACTGTTTGCCTACTTAACACTTAGGAGAGTGAAGGGAAGGGACAAATAAATGTTTTCCAGCCTGTGCTTTTCAGTATGACTGTTCTCTTATCTATATTCAGTTTACTAGGAAGGGTAAATTATTTTCCAGCGCCTTTTTTTTTTTCCGTTGAAGTTGTTTTGCTGCTCCAGATCTGCTCTTTTTTGTCTTTTCCTGTAATTTCAGTCTTAGTTTGATTAACTGGGAGCTCATAATAAATTATAATGCTTTTCCATGGTTCGTGAATGTGGGGAAGAAAATGTGACAGATTCCTGAGGAACTAAATGTTACTTTATGTCTGAATAAGACAGTGTGTTTTTAAAATTCAGTCTTTGTATTACACTGCTTTGAAAGACTGTCTCTGCTCATTTTAGAATTTCTTTGTTCTCTGCTTCTAATTTTTATGCTTTCGATACCTGTAAGACTGCTGTTATTTATATCCATGGCTATAGGAAAAAATACTGTAGTTTGTACATATGACATTGTACTTCCAAGAAATATTGATTTTTTTTTATTTTAAAATTTAGAAACACTGTAGAATGATGAGTGTGGTTTTCAGAAAATTGTTATTTATGCTATTGGTCCTTCCAAAAAGGCAAGCTACCTGCTACCTGTGAATCAGAGTAAGGCACGCTGGTATTTTTTTATGTTTTATCCACAAGTTTAACTTTAGAATTATGACCAAACAAGTGAATTACTTTTGTAAATGCTGTGCCTTCTGTAAAATTTAGAGGACTTGGATGAGGAAACTGTTCTCATCCCTGTCAGTTGTACCCTTTCCTTTTTTGTTCAGGGGGGCTTCCTGGCCACAGACTGACTCATGAAGGTATAATAAAAGCAGCGTTTTGCAATGGCCCTGCCTATGCATGTGTGCATTCAGGAGGAAGCAATGGTGCAGCAAGGTTCTTAAGACTTTGATTTCTTGTGCTGGAGGACACACAAACTGAGGTGTTTGTTCTCCTGGTTGTACTGAAGGTGTGTACTGGAAAAGTCCTGCAGGGAGGAATGGGGACGTGGGGTGCTGCTGTAGGGGCTGTACATGTCTGTCTCTTAGCAGCCTCATCCCTGGCTATTAACCTTGGCCAAACAGCAACAGTGGTCTTTGTGAAAAATAAAAATGTCTCTATTCCCTAAAATATTTTCCTTCCTGAATTGTCAGAACCAGTGTGATGGTTCTTGATGTCTTCTCAGACATTAGAAGCCCAGGATTTCCTGACAGTGGCTGTGCTGGCCTCTTGTCTGTAGAGACTAACATGTGTTTTTTTAAGTTTCAGACTTTAAAGGGTGTGTGTTGACCTCCAAGGGAAAATTTGAAGAAACCGTCTCAGAGTGTGATTTTTAATTGGCTTTTTCTCAGGAACCACAAAAGAAAAGCCATTAAAGTTTAAGCTACAGTTTTACTGATGTTGATATCATACAGGGCGTAAACTGTAGATTTAAAAGTCGGATTACAATGAGGTATTGTGTGCTTCATGTACAGGTTGTTGCTGGTAGGACCACCAAAGTTGGTTGTCTGTACCAAAATAGGTGATTTTAATATGTAAATCTGTGAAGAAAAGGGTTATAGGTGCTGGTAAGCTCCAGCAGCATTTCTCACTGGCTGACAGAAGCATCAGAGCATGGTGGATGCGGTGAACCACAAACTTGGGATCTTCTCTGTCCCTATTTCCCTTCAGTTTTCTACTCTGGAGTTTTGAGTTGTCTACTGGAACTGGCTGTGTGGAGAGGGAAATGCTGTGCTTTGGAATTTGGACCTGAGTGTTTTATGACAAGAAGCTGTGACTGCAGGGCCACGTGTGCAAAATGAGGAACAACAGCATCATTGACTGATAACATACTGTCTTTCTAAGTAGAGCATTTTTAAATATGGTCTTGGGTTCCTTTAACCAACTTTTGATATTGTAGTCAATGTGAGAAAGTGAAACTAACTTTACAGGCAGGTAATAAGCAGCTAATTTTATAAGATTCTTCTCTGTTTGCAGTTCCTAATGAGTGGAGTTCAGATTTACATCACATGATAGCTAATTTGATGCAAATGCAGTGTTCCAGCAATCATTGACTCTTCTTCATGTGATTTTAAAATATATATGTACAGTAACGCCTGTTTCTTTGTTGCCACAGGTTCTGCCTGGCATACTGCAGAAGCATTGCTGCATTTTACCTGACAGGAACACAGGTAAACTTTTTTCTTAATGAGTTAACATTGTAATATGATTTGGAGAAATGCAAACACAAATTGGATTATATTGAGAAGTCTTGTTTGCTATTTATGGTCACTGAAGTTATCTTATAGGGAGTGATTAATTGGATGTTTTGTTTAAATTACCTGCTTTCATGTGAAGACTTTGTGTATTCTGTTAATTTTCTGGAGCTGTTGCAGTTGTAGAGGTTGCTATCAGGTCTTGCTTATAAAGGTATTTGTATGAACTTCTGAAGCATTTCTATGTTGTTAATTATAAAGTTACGACTTTGTCAAGAAAGGAGATTTAATACTGAAGTCTGCAGTCTGGTCCTCTTGGTTCACAAAGGTGCCAAGCATGAAGTCACGCACAGCTCTTACTGCAGATAAATGTTTGCTCTATGCTTATTTTTCATAGTAGAGGAGTAGACTGGAGTAGTAGACTAAAGGGGTAGACAGAATGAGTATCACGAATGATGCCAGAGGAAACTTAGAGTTGTTTGCAGGAGGAAACAGAGTAGTGTGTTTGTGACCAGAACAAAGCAATTGATGAGAATGATATTGGATGAGAAGAAAGTTATGATTTAATTTTACATTCTTTTATGACAGGAAAAAACCAATTTCTTTAAAATAAGTTTTAAAATCCTTTCAATAATATTATAAATTGAGTTAAAGTGACTGTGTATGCAACTGTGAGTATGATTTGACAGACTAATTTCAGAGAAGTAGGAGGAAAAATATAGGTTTTTCTGTGATATCTTCTTAATAGAATATATATGATTGCTTGCATCTCTTAAGGCTACATCCCCTCTTCCTCCAGTAGCTACCATTAAAATAAACTGATTTGCTCCTTGGCTTGCTACTAATTGTATTTCAGGCACAGTTTGCACTAAAGGTAATTACAGAGAGAACTTGAGAACTATGTTGAACTGTAGAGGGACTTGTGGTTACCTGCAAATGCTCAAAAGAAATTTAAAATCTGATTTCCATTTTATCTGTGAACACGATAGAAGTACTACAGTAAGACAGTTAATAATATACCCTTTCTAGCAAGAATTTGTAAGTTCATAATTAGTCTGAAGACAGACTTTGGCCTTCGTAATAATTTCAAGATTTCCTGAAAAGTGGACTTGGTGTAACGACCTCAACTCAGTCTGTGTGCTCCTTTTCTAGTAGCCTGTGCCAATTATTTTGATTCTTTTATTTGTAATATAAGAACTCGATCCAGATTCCATTGACAACCAAACTCTTCTCAACTTATACGTAAGTGTATCATGTGGATATCAAAGCCAGTGTTGCATGAAGTAGTGGTCTGGGCATGGGCAGTAAGACTGACCATATATCTAGAGAGGTTATAACATGTCTTTATAACCAATATCAAGAAAGCCACGTATCTAAAATCTCAGTCACCTTCAAAAGTGCCTTCATTTGGGCATAAAAAACAGGAAGGCTCTTCCTAATATAAAATTTGTTTTTGAAAACTTTGAACTAAGCTCTTAGAAGAAGAAACCTATCAGGTTTACGTAGGTAACAACTGCTGGACAACTCAAGCATACTTATGTGTGAAAATAGTTGTAAATTCTATTGCTGCTGTGTGACTGCTGCAGGAAGTATTTTTATGCCTACCTACTGTATAGTGGGGAGTTGCCAGCAAGTGCAAAGTAAATTATGTCTGTGTTCCATTTTCCCCACTTCCCCCATTTACAGTGTTTAAATACTTGGCAAAGAGAAGCAGAAGGAGAGTTTAGACAGGCCATGGGGGATTTTTAAACTCCTTTTTGCAGGAAAAGAATGACTAAATTTGTGTTTGATTCATTGAGTCTCTTAGAGATAAATGACCCTTTGTCGTGTTTGATTACGTCTAAATCAACTACTCCAAACTAAGAAGAAATTCATTAAATATGGGTAAATGTGGAATGTACTATTTGCATTCGAATGTATACATCAGACATAATCTTGTCCAGCTCCATTCTCAGTAAATGAGCCCAGAAAAATTGCCTGATTGCGAGCTGTAGGTCTGTTTGCATTCAGCTGTTGACATTTGGGGAACTGAGCAATATCCAGACTTGGGTGTTGTTCCTAATGGTGAGAGAAGGATAAAGAGAGATGGACTAGGGGGAGGAATGGGAGAAGAAAGAGGAGAAGAATCATATAACGAGACCGACAAAACTGTTAGGGAAGAACACAGATGCTGTAGGGAGTATGGGTGGGTGAAAGGGAGAGGTGCAGTAGTAGTTTTTCCACTTATTTATATCCATTCAACACTTCAAGTGTTAGCCAGCTTGGTGGTCTTTGGCTCCTCATTCAAGAGTGCCTTCATGACCAGCCTCTTTTATGCTGTTGCACTGGAGCTGCACCTCAGAGAAAGAAACAAGCCCTTGGGAACAGCAGGGCCAGTGCTGCCAGGCCATTCTTTCATCTTGGAGAATATATGCATTTAATCTTAAAAGTAATATGCCCCTGGATTGCCTGTAATCTAGACAATTGTGCATATCGCTGTCCTTTCCTACACTGTGTAGGACACTGAAGTAACCACACTTTGTGGTACTGATATTCTGTATTTGTAAACTGGAGAAAAGAACTATGCATGGAAAGAAGGGTACATGGCAGCAATGATCTCCTTCCCGTGGTGATGATTTGTTAGTACTCCTACCATGAACTTTTATTCTCAGTGCTTATAACTAAGCGATAAAAATATCTCCTGCAGAAACTTTTAAAAGGGAGCATAAAAAATGTAATTCAGCTGTTCCACAGCAATGCAATTTTGGAAGAAGGTACATATTTAACAAGTATTTCAAAGGTTAAAGAATGATTAATTTTCAAACATGTAAGGCATTTAGAGAATTTCATTCTCTAAATATAACACTAGTTGGCTGCTTGCATTAAACTTTGCTAATAGACAGTGATGTTTCATTTCTTAAGTGTTAATTTATTTGTGGCTTTCCATTAATCATATTTTCATTACTAAATTAAAAGTTCATATAGCATGCACTTGCATAATATGTGCTCATTATCATGTTAACTAATATCCAGAACCTGTATTTATCACATAATCTGTGCCTCAAGAGGCAAAAGATCCCAGACCAGACATGTTTATTCTGCACTTCTATTTTATATACCATAATCATACTGTAAGAATTTTATTGATGTCCCTGCTAAGTTTTTTTCCATGTCTTGGAACTGAACCAGCCAGCAACAACTGGGATGCATTAGCAGTTATAAAGTTAATTGGAAGAAAAGCAGTTACATGCTCTGTACAGGCATTAGTAACACGATCGTAAGGGGAAACAGTGTGAATGACCTGGTAGGGAGCAGCTTCCTTATTTTCTTGAATTATAACCCTCTTTCTCTCCAGCTCCAGCTGGGAGAAATAACCCACCCCTTTTGATGGACATCCACCATCCTCTGTGTACATATGCAGCTGGCTCATATTCCCTTTATAAATATTTCCTAGCAATGATCCGTCCCTTGTTAATGGGAAATCTTCAGTGAAATCAGAAGTCCCTCCCATTTCTGCATGGTCACTTCTGTAAACCTTAGGCAGATGCTGAGGCTGTTCCCTGCTCCCTCCCCCTTAGAGAGCTGTTCACGCAGTATGAGCACTACACTTGGTTTGTACCCTCAAAATGAAGATAGCCATTAAATGCAACATGTTTTGGCATTCCTAAACAAAAAATTGAGGGGTTAAAATGCAGATTTGAAACAGAGAAGTGAATGTATGCTGCTGTGTGTTGCTTTTTATTTAAATTTATGTATTTTTTAAATTTATTTTTATTTCCAGTCTTGCTTGAAATAGAACTCTTCAGGCAGTACATGTGGGTTGTTTAGATGTAGAAAATTTCATGCAAATAAAAAGAGGAAATATATCTGAAAGCTTATGCTTTTGTGTATGCTGTGTTTAAGCAGTCTTAGAGCAGATAAGTGAATTATTTGGGGTTTGATTTTTATTTATCCCAGGGCTCCTTGTACCATGATCTAGCACAATAAATGATCCTCAAGGTGAGCACAAATATACTTGGTGCAGTAAAACGTGACTTATCAATGGGACTCATTAATAGAAGGCACTTGGTGTGATTTTTACCATTGCTACAGCTGTTAAATGGACACTCTTGCACTGCTGAGATGCTGATAGCTGTGTGCTTTGTCTGCCTCTGTGGTGCTCTTGATACACAATTATTAGTTTCCAAATTGCACGAAAAGCTTCTGTACTATTCTTTTCCGTTGTAGCCATGAGTTTGATATGTTGTGGACTGCAAATTTGGGCTCATTTTTTCCACTGAAGATCCCAAAGAAAGGAATGAATCAACAGTTGCTAGCAGCTTCTTGGGCTGATTCTTTCTTTGAAGTTTAAGCATGAATTTCCCCTCTCATTGTGAAGGAGAACCTAGGTACAATAAAGAGCACTGGCACTGATCATACTGACTTTATTCTGATAAATAACTCTTTGAGCAATACTTTGAGCAACACTCTTTAAAAAAAAAAAAAGGAAAAGATATTTCTGCTGTCTCAAGTTTCTTCATCATCCATTTTCAGATCAGCTCTTATGTACTGATATTGATCTTGCACAAGATGTGAAATCTTTCATTATAATCATTCTCTTTTGTCCACTGCATTGGCTAAAATTACACTGAAAAAAAGTGTGACCAATGTTCTGCTTTCTGCAAAGAATGAATAATATCTGCTTTAGAGAGTGGTAATTGCTTTATATACAAAAGCAGGAATTTAATAATAACCAATCTCTTCATTGGGTAAACTACAGCCCAAGACAGGAATGTTTCATCCTTGCTTGTTTGCTTTTCTTCCTGTTGCTTGAAGAACAAATATTGAACAGAAGAAAAATCTAAGATGGTATTAAATAGAATTCCTGCACTAAACTTTACTAAATTGGATGAAGAAGTCAACATTACTTATTTTTTCCTTTAACTATATCTACAACAGTATTGCCTTACTAGCTTTTAAAATAAAAGGTGAATTGGTGCTCAAAAGCAAGTGTTTTA